CCTATAAAACTGACCGAGTAACCCTTGTTATATTAACTGAGTAACCACTAACATCGACTAAGTAACCCCTATCTATAACACTGATTGAGTGACCACTATAACACTGACTAATAACCTTTATAGCACTAATGAAATGACTTTTGTAATAGTTGGTGACATGGTTTGACCAACTACGTGTGAAAGTTTGTGATTATATATATATTATAGGAAAAATTGAAAAGAATAATCCCACCTTTCGCCCATCTGCTCAAAATAATCTCACCTTTTCGAATTCCAGAAATAATCCCACCTTATAACCTCATCTTTCCCAAATGAACCTTTTACCTTCAACCTGTAAAACAAGTTAGATTTTTTTATTAAAAAAAAAAATATTCCTCTAATCCCTCTTCTCTCACCTCACCCCTTCCAATCTTCCATAACTGCATCCATGTCAACCACCATCACTACCTCCACACCACCACCTGACCTCCACCCACACCACCACCACCCAAACAACTTCACTGCACCAATAAAAAAATCAATCTCGGTTGCTACCCTGTAACCCACAACCGTGCAGCCACCATCCCTCACCTCACAACAACTAAACACCCTCCTCCATCCCCGTTGGTCAAGTAGCCAGCCGCCGGTGCAATCAAACCCTGCCACCCACCAGCTCGCAAACAACCCACAAACCTTACGCCTCTACCTCAACCAGCAGCAATGCACCAATGGCGTCGCGCCACCAATCACCAAAATCGACTGCGCACCAAAACCGACTACGCTAACAATCACCAAAACCGATAGCCCACCAGCGGCGTCGCGCCACCAATCAGCCAAACATCAATCCCGACAGCCTCCAATTTGAACAAAAGTAGCGCCAGAATTTGCAACTCAACCAACAAATTAGCTTAAATCAGGGGTGGAGGTGATTTTCGTGGGTTGGGTGGGGTGGAGGTGATTTTCGTGGGTTGGGTTGGTAGCCTAAAACGCCGACCGACTTCCGATCCATTTCTTTCCAGTTCCAGTGTGGCTTCGGGTTCAAGGTTAGGTGGGGGTTTCGGGTTGTGATGGTGATGGTGATGGTGATGGTAATGGTGATGGTGGTGGTAAGGGGCGGCGGCAGGGTTGTGATGGTGGTGGACTGGTGGTGATAAAGGGGTGGTGGCAGGAGGTTGTGATGGTGGTGATGGCAATGAATTGAAAGGGGTGGTGGGGGCTGGGAGAATTTTTTTTTATTTGTTTGTTTTTTTTAAATATTTTAAAATTAGGACCAATTAGAAGGTGACAAGTGTCAAGTCACCTTCTAAAACAAGTTACTAATTTCATAAACCGGTAAAAGGTTTATTTTGGGAAGATGGGGTTACAAGGTGGGATTATTACTGGAATTCGAAAAGGTGGGATTATTTTAAGCAGATGGACGAAAGGTGAGATTATTCTTTTCAATTTTTCCTATATTATAAATGGATCTTATTTTAAAAAACTTTTTATAATGAATTTGATGATGGAAATATAACAAAGTTATAGGATGTTTATTAAAAGTTATGATTAATTTTGTATATATATGAAATATTAATTTATCGATAATAAAACTTTATGCAACAATTTTATCTTAAAAATCTATCCAACAATCACTTACTTAGTGATATGAAGTGTCACAATAATACCTATTTTAGGCTACATGGCATGATACTTGGCGAAAAACTAGAATATCAAGTGTCGCTGTTTCGTGACCTGATTGCGAGACCGACTTTATATATTAGTGATATGATATGAGATTATAATTTGTAATTTTAGATATCTTTGAATTTTTATTACTCCGTAGTAACAATAACGAATAAATACTAGCACTTATTAATAATATCACAAACTATATATAGTAAGATTAAAATTATCCAATTTCACAATATTTTCAAAAGTATATCGATATGAATGTCTATATAAAAGGCATTAAAAATAATTTCATTGTTTTTCTAATAATCTTTTGATTTGTAGTTTGTAAAATATTGTCGAATATGTATTATTCAATTCTAATAAAAAAAATATGACGATGATTAGGAAAATGTTATCTCTAGTAACAAATTTGTATTTTTTAGTAACGTAACGTATTTTTTTAGTAGTGTAACATACTTTTCTTAGATACGTCATAGTTAGATTATTGGCGTTAATGGAATTCATCCGCAAAAATTCTGCCTATTTCTTATACACGGTGCCAAAATCATTTTTTTTTTTCAACTCACTTTTCCTTCTCATTTTTTCAGCTAATGGTTAGTTGGCCTTTTTAAATTGGTGTTATATATGGGCCAAACATACAACAATTGTATTTGTTCACCTCCCCTAACTCCAAACTCTCCTTCTTCATATGAAGTTCCTCCTTTATTTGAAGGAGCACACATAACACATTAATTGTCCAATTTAATTATTCCCTGTACAAGGAAATAAATCGCATAATTTTTGGAAAGAAATCATCCCAATTTATGAGGTATAACTAAAAAAGTAACGAGTCAATGAACTCTTGCTACCCCACATGTTGTGTGTGTACATACAGAAGTATAACTATATAAAATCTCACAACTCAAATTTTTATTTCTAAAGTGAAATGAAGGTCTTCTCAAGGAATTTGAACTTTGTCCCAACGATTTCATCTATAGTGATCATCATTTTGCATTTGCAATTCACAAGTAAGTCGGTTAAACACTTTCATCACTTTTGTTTTTTGAGAAATAACAATCAATTCATCAATTAATTTGATGAAAAATAATATGATATTAAAATTAAGTACTATGTATAATCAAATTAATTGATTTGTGTATCTAATAAAAGTTGTCATATATTTTGATTGCTAATACTATATTTTTTTTTCCTACCTTTTCAAAAAGTTTGAGATAACTCTTACGAAGTATAAAAAATGTTCAGGCAATTATACCATCAAAGATATTTGATTGCTAATTTTCCCTTATTAATATTAGTTCTTTTTTAAACTTTATCTTAAAAATAGTGTGTGGACATTTATATTACATTTACCCATAATTTAATTGTTTGACCACCATTTTGGTGTTGACCACCTTACCACCACTCACTCCACCTACCTTTGTTGCCCTAACCACCTCGAAACCACCCCTCACTAGCCCAAAACAATCGCACTCTAATTAACCTTTCGAAAAACCGCCCACCCAACCCGAAACCACCCTTGCCGACCAAAACCCCACCCTAATTTCATGAAAACCACTGTTGTCACCTCGACACTACCTCTCACAAACTAAATTTTCCACCATAACTAGTTAAAAATTGCTCCACCCACCTTGTGGACAAAGGCCAGAGAAGGGTGGTTTGGGATGGGATGGAAGGTTTTCGAGTGATTAGGGTGTGGATTTAGGGTAGAAAGGGACGATTTTGGGTTGGGTGGGTGGCTTTCAGTGGTTAGGTTGGGGTTTTGAACTAGTGAGAGGTGGTTTTGGGTTGAGAGGATGGTAAGGCATGTGGTAGGGTCAGTGCGGAGCCAGGATTTCTTTTTCGCGGGGACAAATTTCGGAGGTTTGATGTTTCAACAAAAAATCTCAAGAAAAAAATTGAAAACATAAATTGATTAATATTTATCTGAAATCACATTGACAATTACTTCGGTAAAAGAGTAAAACAAATTTCATTGTATATTAAGAAAATTAGACAATAAATGAATAAATTTATGTTTGTAAACCCAATTCCAAGTTATGTATATGTAATTCAATAATTAATAAATACGAATGAATGCAATTACCTTATCATTAAGTTAATTAAATAGTTTGTTTCAAAAAAAAGTTAATTAAATAGTTAAAAATAAACGCAACTTTCTTAAATCAATCATATTATTACAAATGTACTATATATAAATAAAATTTAAGATTTAGTTACGAACAATTAATTAATCATAATCTATTAGAAATGTAAAAAATGGAATTTAAGCAGACTTAGTTAAGGAAATTATTAAATAAAAAAAATATAGAGAGATGTATGTATTCGTTAAGAATTGTATAAAATAACCCATTAATAATCACTATATAGCAACGGTTCAACTAAGTATATAAAAATTATATAATATAAAAGGAAATCCAACAACAAGAAATGGGGAAAAAAAATCCTAAAACAAGAAATAGGGGAAAAAATTAAAAAAACAAAAAAAAAAAAAAAAAAAAAAAAGTTGTTGAACACTAGAGTAATCCAAAAAGCACAAAAAAAAAAGCTATAAAAATGTAAGGTTAGGTTTCGAACCTAAGACCAAGAATATGGCATATTCACAAGGCAATCACTAGACCGTGAACATAATTGTGACATTTTTTATTTTTAGAGTTGAGCTGTTTATTCTTAAATAAAAAAAATAAATAAAATAAAAAAATTGAAAATGGGGGGACAGTTGTTCCCCCCATGTTCTAACGTGGCTCCGTCACTAGGGTAGGGTGGTGAAGCTGGTGTGGGTGCTTGGTGGTGAGGTGGTCAACGGGTAAGGTTGTTGTTGACAAATTTTTTTTATATCATGTGTGTTTTGACAAACAAAAAAAAAGGTGTAAGTTGATTTGTGATAAATATTTGTATTTTTTTTAAGGTGGTTTGTAACATTGATTTAACAAATTTTCCTTTAAAGTATTGTTATTTCAATAAAAGTTTACCAAAAAATCACTTACTTATGTCCTACCCCCCTCCTTTATGATTTTAGAACTAATTTAGATCATGCAATTTTTTTTTTTTTGGGTGTTCTATCCAGTTCACTCTTTGAACTAATTCTGATTCGGGGATCAATTATGGGTGGTTAGATTATATTCTCCTCCCAATTGTTGTTGCGGCGGGGTTCGAACACAAGTCCTTACTACCAAGTGTAGTTTCAATAACCACTACACCAACATCCAATTGGTACAATTGTGCTAATGTTGGGCTGAAAATCTTCACACTATCCAAACTCATTTTTCTAAGTAGTTTTTTTACTAAATAACACACTCTTACCCAAAGTATAAGCTCAAATTTCACATATACATTTCCATTATTCATTACAGGTGCATATAGCATCATACTCTTTGGAAACTAACTTTCCTATGCAATCAGGTGCTATTGTTGGAGTCAACTATGGGATGTTAAGCAACAATCTTCCTCCAGCAGACTTGGTGATTAAGTTCTGCCAGTTTAAAAACATCCATCTCTTAAGATTGTATGAGCCACATTCAAATGCACTCGATAGCCTAAGAAGGTCGAACATCAAAGTTGCACTCGGCATGAACAACGACATAGTAACAAGCATTGCTATGGGTGTAGATTTCGCCATGGAATGGGTTAACTCCAATGTTGTCCCTTATGCTAATGAAGTAGATATCGAATGGATCATTGTAGGCAACGAGATGGTGCCCGGTCCTTCTGCTGACCTCATCCCTCAAGCCATGAACAATATATTGAGTGGCCTTAATTCAGCCAGGTTATCTAATATCAAAGTCTCGACGGTGGTAAATGTCAATGTCTTGGGTGTGTCCTCCCCTCCTTCCGCAAGCTTCAGCGCAGAAACAAATAAATCTATGCAAGGGATCGTAGCATGGTTAGCAGGTACAAAAAACCCGCTGTTTATCAATGTGTTTCCTTATTTAGCCTTAGCTTCAAGGCCTAAGGAGATACCGTTAGATTATGCACTTTTCAATGCACAACAACCTATAATCGATGGGACATACAAGTACTATAGTTTGTTTGAGGCTATGGTAGACGCGTTTTATGTTGCCTTAGGGAACATCGGTGGGGATAGTGTGACTCTGGTTGTGTCTGAGACAGGGTGGCCTACTGCTGGGAATGATCCTTATACTAGTAAGCAAAATGCACAAACTTACAATCAGAAACTCATTGATAAAATGAAGCGAACAGGAACACCAAGAAAGCCAAAAAATCTTTTGGATATCTTTATATTCTCTGTGTTTAACGAGGATAAGAGGGCAGCTGGAATTTACCAAAATTGGGGGATTCATTACCCAAGCTTGGAACCTGTGTATCCCTTGACATTTTAGCCAGTATGGAGTATGATTGCTAAACCATGCTATGGCATTTATAGTTGTAAGTCGAAGACTCGAAGAAGCTTATTATAAGCCTTGGCTTAAATAATATTCCTAAAACTTTTGGCAGTTCATTTTCTTTTGTATGTTTGTCTCGAAATATAAGTATAGGTTACAATTTTGTCAAATAGACCCAAAAAAAGGATTTTTACTTTGTCTTGCACAACCATATAATTCAACACCTTATGGTCCCTATTTGTTTTATTTTTCAAAAATCATTTAAACGATTAATTGTGGCAAGTTAATGGTTTTGAGGTTCGTTTGACATCACTGTGCTTTTTTCATAACCTATGTGGCAAGTTCACGGTCTTTAAATTTCTAAAAACTAGATTAACTCCATGCGATGCACAATTTTAAAATAAGAATTGAATTATAGACTTTAAACACGTAGGGAAAGAAAATAATTTCTTCATTTTTCCTAACTAATTTCTAATAAAATATGAATATACATTTCTCAAAAGTGCATAACTTTCATATTTAATTAAGAAATTTCAATTTAATTATATTATTAACTATTGTTAACAACTCATAAATAACTAAATAGCATAAATGCATAATATGTGTAGAAAACCCAAATTTAAAATTTAAAAATTCAAATGGAATATATTTTCAAAACTATGTTTAATAGGGTAGCTTAAAAAGAAAAAAAAATACATGACATCATTCTTGCATTTTGGAGGAAAAAAAAGTAACACGTAAGCAATGATGATATCAACGGTTGTTATTTTAGTATATATATATAAATAGATGTTTTAAAAATTAGTATTGTGTATTTATGAAAATCATAAAATAATAAAATTGTTTTAGAAATATTTAAAACGAAAAAACCCAGGCCCACCCCTCCATCAGCAACCCCTTTACCCCACCGATGCCGACGACCAATGACCCACCCCCTTCCCCATACCGCCGGGGACCCACCCCTTCCTCATTACCCCAAGTTATTGCATTATTTTTATGACAAAAATGGGGATATGAACATATAACGACGAATATCAAAACATGTATAGAATTTGTAACCAAAAGCTCTTGAGTAGTAATCAGTTCTGATTAGAACATATGTTTTTCAGATTCCAAACAATTTCTATGAATCCCAGTCAGAAAACAAAATATCTCCTATCCCCCATTCAAAATCATGAAGGTTCCTCGTTCTTAGGTTAGTCCGGCACATTGGTTACCTGGTCAGGCGAGACATCGCGAGCTTTTGTTATGGTCCTTTTAGTTTGTTTAGTTTTCTTGTTTTTGGTTTTCTAGTGCTCGCTGTCAAACGTCAAGGCCGAGAAAAGACTGCAACTCCGGATTAGCCCAATGAGGCACCAGATTTTTTGCAGGGCAAAACCAACTTCATTTAGTGCATTAATTCATACACCTTTGGCCAAAATTTTAAATCTATCATATCCATCTCACCTCATCATCTTTTCCAATTCCCATTCAAAAACCAACCAAAGCAGAAATCCAAATGTATCTACATGAGTAACATGACTAAATTCGACATCCTTAAAACCGTAAATATTCAATTCAAACCTATAAATGCTAAAGCCTTTCGATAGAGAGCTTTGACATAGTAGTCAAATCGTAGAGAAGTTTATTACTTGTTAATACACTTGAACCTTGAAGGCACAAAATCAAATGGTTACTACTTCACACAACAATTTAGCTCTAACTCAAATGGTTACTGCTTCACACAGCAATTTCTCTGTCACCAGTTACCTTGAAAGTTAAACTCAAAGAAATGTTGCATCAAAAAACAAAACAAAAAACAAATATCAAACCAATGTTAATTACGAGCATGCCCAGGGTTAATATCTGTTATAAACAACTCTTGTTTATAACATGGCAGAATAGTAAATAAAATGTCTTGATTTTCGTGCTAGAGTAATAAAATATTGATTTGCCTACTAAAGTTCTGACATCCATCAATTTGGAGCTAAAAAGTGCACATGACTCTCTTACTTCTCCTTCCATGTTCTTTAACCAACCTTAACCCATGGTAACTGAGGGTGAGTTAAGCAATTACTGCCGTAAAAGTAAAAAAATATGACAAATGGACAACTTACACAGTTCATGGAAATATTTTATTATTATTTTTTTACTTTTTCCCATCATCTCCTTCTTCCTCCCGTGACTCCTTCCTCAAATGTCCATCAACAACCCAACTCCATTAAAGCTGTAAAAATTTCCTCTCTTGAACCACCAATTTCACCACTGTATTTACGGCGGCTCCGCCGCCAAATTAAAAGAAAACCCTAATAAATAATGGAGAAATAAGGGACATTGTTAATCCTTAAGGGTAGATGCATCATCCTAGCTCTTCCATTAAAATTTTCGTTTGCTGGTTTGATTTCCCCCCTTCTATTGGTATTCACCATTGATGGAGCTTGTGAGCTTCTTCATTTCCAGGCCCAACAGAATTCTATTTTTCAATAAAGCTCTTGGATAACTAAATTAGGGGTATTGGGAATCCAAATTGATGTTGCTGGGGAAATTTAATTTACTCTCATGAGCTTGCTTTTTAAGTTTGAAGAAGAAACCATGAATTGGAACACGTTGCAATAAATTGGGCAGGTGAGAGGAGTTAACCATAGTTAACTTTGTCCTCTTAACGTAGGTGTAACAGAGAAAATCCATCTAATATTTGTTGCCCAAATTGCCCTTACTTTTAGAAGCGAAAAGACGAACGTATCCTGATATAAACACTCCTTGTTTCTATCAGATATTAACTTGGATTTTCTCGTTAATTACTAAACCCAATTCATATTAACCTCCAGCAACATTATACGCATCCTTCTTCAGCAAATGATCGCTCTCATCCTTGAAGAACCTAGCTTTATCAGCATATCAGGCAAATTTCACAATACGTTCATCATAATCATTAGAAGGGTTAAGAGTAAGTCATGATACTGCCATCCAGTGATTAGGGAAATTAAGAAAAGACTTGAAGAAATCAATTGGACTTAAGTTAGCTTTTGTTATGAATAGGATTCAGCGTCAAACAAGTTAGCACATGATATTCATTGTTCGATGGCTATTTTGGTAACATTCCATATCAAGGGTAAGAGAGACAGAGAAAAGACAGTAGTTTTCCGTTAAGAGTTAAATGTTAAAGAGTAAATCAACTAGATGTATAGTTTCGTATAGAAGGAGTTCATCATAATAATGCCCAAAGAAAAAGAAAACAATATTACTGATCAGATCTCTGTAACCTAAATATCTACAACATTATTGTGTCTGTTTTATATTTCCTTCCACTTACCAAAACATCCTTGCTATGTATCTTAATATATCAATCATCAACAACTTTCTACCAGACCCAGCTAGCCAGCCAGCCAATCTTTGGCATAAAATTGGCCTTTATGACTACTACTCTCAAAATGTCATACGTGCACACCCTTTTATGTTGACTCTGCATTGAAGGAATATATGTCAGCAGGGGCATTGGTGCAGCTAACAGCAGACTGCTTGAGTCTAACAACGTCGCCATTATGCTTGTTATGATCGAGATACATTACTACTACGGAAATATCATCATGGAAATGACGCCTTATGCCTTTCTCAATATTTTTAATATCGCTATATCTAAGCTCTCTCTTCCTTGCAGCTTCTTGTAGGGCAGCTGTCACTAGTCTTTTGGCGATTCCCTACAACATAAACAACCAACATTAGGTTCAATTGTCTGCAGAAATTTTACTGAAGTTCAACACATACAAATTACAGTTTCTCCATAACAAAAATGATGTCTCATTTCATTATTGTAACATACAAGGAGTTAACATTATGCTGGTATAACACTCTACTTTCCTTAACTCATAGATTTAAATATAAGCAAGGTATAAGCAGTACAACGGTTGATTTACTAAATTGTTTTTATTTTTATTTATTTTTATTTTTAATTATAGAACTTATCCCAGACTCTTCTACTGTTACGTCAGTGTGTAAAAATCACTCAGTAAAGTCATATGATATCATGTAAATGTAACCCCTATCTCATCAAGGCCAGTCTTACCAAGAGGGCTACTATTTTTACAGTAGTTTCATTTCTCTTCAACCCCCCTCCAAAAAAATAACCTTGGAACAAGGAAGAACGCTACTCTATGTAGGGACCATTATTACAACAGTAAGACTTGAGAGCATGGTTATAGAGCAACTAAAAAAAAAAAGCTATTTAAACTCACCGTTCTAGAATTCTTGGAGACCATTTCCACCACAGTTTGATCAGACAATTGTTCCCAAAGACCATCTGATGCAAAGATTAGAAACAAGTCTTCTGGCTCAAGCTTTCTTTGAATTACCGATGGTTCAGCTGTCATTGCTGGACGTTTTAAGGAAATGGGGTAGACAAACTGCTGATATATAGGGTCTCTACTGAAATCTGGTTTTTTCAGATACACATCTCCAATGGATCTTGATACCTGAAAAAGATAAGTTGATCAGAACAGCATCTTCATCAGATGCCTTTTCTCATATAGAAACTTAAAGTAAGCATAACAAACAGCAAGGAATATATGAAGACTACTTATAGTTCTTAATTGTTGCTGAACAACTACTGCTTTTCGTTTATTGTTCTCATCTCCATAAATATTTATGCTTTGCACATAAAGATTTGAAAAACAGCCTTATCAAAAGGACATAGTTAAATACTCTGTATCTAAAAGAGGTAATAGCATTGGCAAAGCACCAACCAAAATAATAATACACGGTATACACTGCTGAACTCTTTAGTAAATATCTTTGATGCAAAAGAGAGGAAATTTGCAACTTGCAAGGCCAATTTGTCATTGGATGCATAAACTGTATTTTATTAGTCGCATAAAGAACAAAAACTTACACAATGACACAAATGTTCTAATATACAACAGTAGAAAAACACGCATTCATTTAGCAAATTCACTTTTCAAGCATTTTTGGTTCAAGTTGCAAAGCATACATTCTATTTTGAAACTATTTTAGGCAAGTGTTTT